CTGGGGCCCCTTCTCCTTCTCCCCAACCAGCCTTCAGAGCTGCTTCTTTTAAGGACCCATTAGCACCTCTTCCTGCAAGAAGCAATGTAAGCAGACATTCAATATGACCAGCTTTACTTGCATACATAGTACTCTGGGAAAGGGAGAAGATTTGTGTTTTTTTAAAAACCTGCTGGTGGAGACAAGATGGGGAGAGAGGAAAGCACATATACAAAAGCAGCTCGTGAGATATTTTGGGAGAGTTCAAGCACTGCTTCTCCTGCCTGCCCCCCCCCCCCCCAACCCTGTGCATGACTCTTCCCTGCTCTGCCCAAGGGTTAGAAGTGAGGTCTGAATTACCCAGGGGAACTCAAGGGTGCCTCTACACCAGCCAGAAGGCTGCTCTGAAGAGCTCTAATTACAGCATGTCAGAGCACACTTGATTAATCAAGTCTGCTAGAGCGTGCTAATTAGTGCCAGCCTCCAAGTCTTGTGTGTCAGCAACCCTGCACTTCAAAATGACAGCAGGGGTATTTTAACTAAAGCGCATTCAATGAGTTTTAGAAAAAGGGCCACCGGCCACCATTTTGAAGCGCGGGGATGCTGATACATGAGAGACTCCAGGCGCTGTAATTAGACTGGCTTTTGGAGCCACACTAATTAAAATGCCCACCCCTGGAGCATGTGTAAAAATGCCCCAAGAGCTCACTTCTCATTAGCAGCACAGGTGAATGTGTGGGAGGGGGGCTGACAGCCCCTGCCAGTGTCTCTCCAGCTCCCCTTGCTGGTGAGTGCTGGCACAGCAAGTTCCCAGGGCACTTTTCCCAGCTCTGGATAGCTCGCCCTGTGAATGTGAAGCAGGTCACAAGGCATGACAAATTCCATCATGATGGTTTTCCATCATCAAGACATTGCCTATTGCTTGATGAAAATAATGTCTGCCAGGGCCTAAAACCCAGTCAAATTATTAGCCCAATAGCTAGAGCTACTATTTTTTCTGCATTAACAATTTTATCCCATCTTAAAGCACTTTTTGTAAGATTTCGGTTGTATACCTTTAAATAACCTACTCACCGCAAGGAGGGGACTTATTTGTCCACCTTTGTCAGTCTTTTCAACATCAGTCCCATGGCCGGCTCCCAGTCACTGTGGAACTTCTTTAGCAGTAGCATCACTTTGTTAGCTGCTTTCCCATGAAGCATTTTGTGTCTTTTTTTCTCACTTGCCCTGCTGCTCTGTCTCACTGAGGAGAAAAAAAAAAACCTTCTCAGCACTCATACCATGAATTTGGCTCTGGCCTGCTCCTTCTTTACCTCCCTGTTTTTTCCGGATTGCTGTTCAAGCCAGGTTGCAAACAAATTTTTATGGAGTGTATAAACCTACCTCCCCTTTTACTACCAAAAGCTACTTCAGGGACTATTTCTGTGACTCCTCTACCTCATAACTCTTCTGTGATTCCAGAAAATACTTTGTTACCCTCAAGGCTTTTGGCCTTCTTGGACATAAACTAGGGTACAAAATACAAAATGTTTTCAACTTATTGAAGATCTGTTCATCCAGGTCTTCCTTAACATGGAAATGAATTGACACCCCATGGCAAAGAGCTGATTGGTTATCATGTCATGGCTTTGAGTTCACATGTGGTTTCAAGGAGAATGGAGCCAAAACAAACCCCCAGTTTTTCATAGAAATTTTCATGGAAATAATAGTTTTAAATAAAGCAGATTGGAATTTATCTTTTATAATGACTTAGTGATATAAAACAATCAATATTCCTTCAGAAAAAATGTTTGTGTCAAATGTTTCATTATCCTATCAGCTTTTCTGACTCAATATTTTAGGACATTTTCAGTCCATAAAAAAATTTGAAATCTGAGCTCATTGTACTAATTTCAGATGGAAACAAGTGCTGAAATTTCAAACTAGCATCTGGGATAAAAATTCATATTTCACTCAATCCTAGTTCTAAGGTCGGAACTGACAGCTGTTCTTAAAATTAAGGTATTGACGTTGTTTCCCATCAGCCATATTGCCATCTTTATTTTTAAACCAAACCTTTTTTAAGCAAGTCACAAGGTAATCTGCACTATTACTTTCAATTACAGTTTAATAATTTATGAAATTACTTAGTATTATACCTGCAATATGTCAGTCAAGCTTCATTACATTGCAATGAGGTTTGATTTAACATAGTCATTATTACCACTGTTAGAAGTTTGTAGGGGGGAAGAATTCATGCAAATGTCTTATTTTTGACCATTTTAGATTAAAATAAGCAGCTGTAGAGGAGCAACAGTATATTACAGAGCACAGAGCCTACCCAGGACTATAACCCCCCTTATAACAATACAGAAATGCACTAGCCCATTACTGTGCATTGTGTATTAAATGGTCTCAATGTTTCTTACAAAAATTATTTTAAGAGTAAAGATGAAGGAATGAATAGTCATGAAGAATGTAAATCACTCTCCAACAAAATGTTCTAAGGCTTCATTAAGCCTCACTGAAAATATGTAAAACTACATGCATTGTATACAAAGTACACTTACATACATAGATGCCTTTTCACTGAATACAAGATAATACTGACATGCTGTTTGTTTTTTAAGTACTGAAATGTAATTACTGTACAACTGATTTAGAGAGCAATAAAGTTAAAAAAACCAGGAAGGAATAATTTCATTCAATTTGAATAAAGATTTTAAAGAAAAAGTATTCAGGGAGGAAGCTTAATATAGTAAGTCTTTTACATATTGTTATTAATTCTGAAATTCATCCTAAATTTGCCCAGACCATACAAACTAAGATACCACTCTATTCAGAATTTAACAGTCAAGCAAATACAAGTAGAGATATTATTTCTTCTGTATTTCTCACTCAGTGCTGTCTTCCCTGTTTGTAGTAAAGGCATAGGTGGAAGGAGAAAATATTACTACAGGAGGCTGAGTAAAAGTTAAACTTAAAATATACTTCTACGCACACACACACAGACACTGCCCAGCACATAAGTCTGTGAAGGAGAAGAGGCAGGGTGGGCGAGGGGCAGATTGAGGCCCCCACGGTGAGGGAGGGAGTGGGGCAGTGGCAGGGGCTGGGGTGAATGGAGCCCCAGGGCCAAGGCAGGTCATGGGATGATCGAAGCCCAAGCAGCTCATCCAGAGACACCGTGCACACACTGTGGGGGGCATGTGCCCCCAGGTTAGTGCACAGGGCATCACAAAGGTGGGCTGCCCGCTGGACTCTGAGCTGCGCTGGGGATGCCCAGGAGCTGTGTGTGACGCCATTGCCTGCTGCCACCAAAAGCCACATGGTGTCACAAGTGGCTCGCTGGCAGTGGCAGCAGGGCACGGAGCCCAGAGGACTGCCTGCCTCCATGACACCCCATGCACAAATCCTGGAGGCACATGTCCCCCCGCCAGGATGCATGCAGCAGTGGAAGCTGCCCCCCAATGCCCCTGGACGAAGCCACCTGGGCTCTGAGCATCCCATGACCCACCCTGGCCCCACGGCCCAAATCACCCTAGCCCCTGCCTCTACCCTACTCCCTGCCTCATTGCAGGGGCCTCAACTTGCCCCCCACCTCCCTTCTGTTTCACAGACTTACCTGCTGGATGCTCCATGCCTGGCCACCTCTGCAGGCTGCGGCTGCATGTCTGTCTGTGCATGCCCCCTCTCCTCTGTGGCAGCTGCCCAGAGCTGCCCTGTGGCCCTCTTCGCTAACACCACTGCACTGCATTTGTGGGAGCTAAGCCCGTTATACCCAGCTTTCCACCACCAATAAGTAAAGGCCCCTAGTTTGCATATTTTAAAGCACCAGTATCACATATATAAGAACTTTATACTGGACACATCTACATGAGATGTTTACTGCACAGTAGACTAATTAGCTGTGCAGTAACATCTCAGCATCAATGCATGTGCCCCTATTAGGCTAGAGTAAACTAATTTACTCTGCATCTGGATTGTATTTGTAAATACAAGTACTATTTAGCTATGGAATAAAAAACACCACAGCAGCACACATGTATATGCTGCCCTGGCTGTTTGGGTTACATTGGTGCTTCAGTGTGGTGGATGCCTTCCAGTTATCCCCACACTGAAGCACCCCTGTGCTCATGCTAGACCCCCAGCAGCCTGTATCCTGGCTTGTATTTCTAAGAATGCTTTCTTTGGGCATCTATACACATATTCTGAGGTGGGGAGCCCTGATAGCCACTCTAATTAAAGCGCTCACAGTGTCATGTGTATTCATGCTGAAATTCCAGCATATTGGAGCTGACCTGATTAATTAAGTCTGCTGGAGTGTTGCAATTGCTCCGCTCCAGCTGCCTCCTGCGTCTCATGTATAAGTGTCCCCATGCTTAAAAATGGTGGTGGGGGCACTTTAACTAAAGCTCATCAAATGAGCTTTAGTTCAAGCACCCCCATAACCATTTTTAATTGTGGGGATGCTGATGCATGAGATGCAGTGGCACTTTAATTACACCAGCTTGCAGAGTTGCTCTAATTAAAGAACCACCCCTTCCCCCCCATATACACATACATGTAAAAGTGCCCGGAGGTACTCAATTTAATGTGCATTACCTAAAGCACCTTAATGAATGTGTAAACACACCCCAAGAGCCCAGACATACAGACCACTTTAAACCAGTTTAGACTTCCTTGAACACTTCTCAAAAGCACGCTGGGAAAAATCAAGTACTATTTTGAACCTGTCCTCTCTGAACCAATTCAAGGTTCTTTGGGGTCGGGGGAAGAAGCCAGGTTTAGAAGAACAGGCACTTTGTGGCCCTTTGTTTGTGGTGGGAGGGTGGTTGTGCCTGTAACAGGAAACACATATCAGTTGCCGGGTGGTGGAGAGTGGGGAAGCAGAGCCATTGAACAGTGGGCACTTACTAGAATGGAAGGGCTGCTGTGTCTATGCTAGATGTGAACTGTTCCTTGCTCTCTGTGCTGCCCTCATGCAGCCAATACTGCCCTCAAGGTTTCACCCAGTACGTGGGGGTTAAAAAAGCCAAGGAGTTCTTTGGGGGGCCTAGAGCCCCAGTCGTGTATGTGTGGACACTTCAGTCCAGGGACATTTATGAATCAGTTCCCAATTAGTGACATCCTTGGAACCGTTTAAGTGATATGTCTGTCTGCACTCTTTGTTCGCACTGCAGTCAAAGGGAGTTCCACTGTGACTTCAGTGGGAAAACTCAGCTGTTTCAAAAATTCCAGGATTCATTGAAAGCTTGGGTGCCTTTGATTGTAAGCTGTTTGGGTCAAGTATTGTCTCTGTGTTTAATGCAGCTCCAACTACATCATATTAAACAAACAATAAATAATAATTTTGTGTTGCTGAAGTCATTTTTCCCTGACTCATGCACTGGCAGATGAAGATGATTCACAGCTGTTTTATGAGGCCATTTAAATGCTCTGTCATTAGATGCAATAGGCCAGTGACAACTAACAGGTCAACTGAGGATTCTGCTAGGGAGAAAAATGATAGATGGAATTAGAGCAGGAATAAATACAAGGAGAAAAAAGAATCATAGTATTGAAGTCTAGAAGAAACAATATTATGACTATATGGATTTAATGGCTGCTGGTATCTAGTTCAGTGACAGGTACTCTCATCCACAGGGACCAAAGTACACAGTGTGCTTTGAGGAGACCTGGAGGCAATCCTTCAGCCCAAATCCCTTGATAGGATAATATGCTATGGCTCTTTTTATGCTGGAGGTGGCATCCTTTCTAGATCCTTTCTGAGTATGTCAGCTGATGATAACAGCATAATTTCCCCTAGAAATGTTAACTCCCCCTCTCTTTGCCTTACAAAGAAGAAAAGCATAAACATTTCCTTTGAGTCATTCTGAATAAATACTTTAAGAATATTAAAAAATGAGAAGTGGATTAAAGTTCTCAGGCTGAATTCCAAACCATGTAGACTGCTTTGTTAATTTAAAAAGGAGGAACATTATAACCTTGAGTGCCCGCACTGTGTGACAGGCAGGCATTATCTGTGTTAAAAATATGTATTATGTACCTATCTGTAACCATAGATATATAATCTCATCTGTTATTTCTCCTTTCCATGTAGGAAATTTAGCAGTGAGCAGGTAAAAGCAATTCTGTGACATCATGGATGTACTACAGGAACTCCTGGGTGTCATTAGCTGTTGCACTTTGTTTCTTTGCATTTAAAATGCAGAATGCATTAGCATTTGCTTGTTTTGAAGTTCTCCAGGGTATTCTACAACCAAGTTGCCTGGTAGCAGAACAATCTGTGTTCCTCAGATATGCAAGTGACTAATTTTCCATCAATCAGAGATGAAACTTAAATAAATAAAGGTACTTCATGGGGCTGCTGTGCCTAATGATAAGCAATTATACAAAGTCAAATTAAGGCAGTTCTTTGTGAGGGTCCTGTGAAATTGGTTAAGCAAAAAGAATAACTGCACCATTTCACCGATTCATCCTATTGCTCATTTCAGAGGGAGCATTATCTCAGTTAACTGATGCAATTAATATGAAAATGAGGAAATCATTGTTTAAGAAGATGAGGGGAAAAAGGGGGTCTTAATGCAGTGGCACTGAAGAATAAGAGTCACAGAGACAGAAATTTGCATAGGTCAATGGTAATGCAATGCATTTAGCACATATTCAAAGCTTAACTTGCATAGTAATACATATCCATTAAATTCTCATTATGATGACCTGTGTCCAACACAATTCGATTTTTCTGAATCTTAATGATAAAAAGTTAATTACGCTAAGGTGAAAACCTTTTGTACTTGGTCTTAAAATAAAACACTGAAAGGGCACTGAGACTATCTTTTAGATGTGGCAGGTAGTTTCACTTATGCTTAATTCAATATTTTATTAACCATGACAAGATTTGAAGTTTGGTTTCTTTGTGCACTGCAGATTTTTAATGTAGTCAGTAGCAATAAATAAGCCTTTGTCTGTACATTTACGATTTAATGCTAGTGATTTTCCACTTAGAGGCTTCAGTCACAGCGCACACTGTCACAGATTATCTTGGTTTTCTTATTTTAGTAACTAGAAAAGCTACCCAAATTTAGGGAAGAAAAGATGTATTTTTCACTAGCACACATTCCTGCTTTTGTTCTAGCGATCTGCCTTTGTATCCAATAACTCTTAACTCAGTATATTACAAGTTCTGCAACATCTGTTTCTTGTCATGACCTGATTTCACTTCTCACCCCAGCTACAGGTTAAAGATAAGTGTCCGAGTGGAGCCAAGTCCTTGTGTCCACTAATCTCACATTCTAAGATGGGGCATGCAATTATTTTGGGCGCAGGGCTGTTTACCCAGTTTTGGCAGGCTGTTGAGGGCCACATGGGTAGCCCCACCTCTTGACAGGTGCCCCGCCCCCTGGTCACCATCTTGGGACCAATGTCCCAATGTCCGGGGACCGATGTCCCAGGGCCAGCACCGGTGGAGCACAAAGCAGGGCACAGGCTGGCAGGGGTCTGTGGAGCTCGGCTGGGCTGCACCAGCAGGGAGAGGGGGGAGCTGGCTCGGCTCCATAGAGCCCCTGCCAGCTGGGACCCCATGTTCCTGCCACCCTGCTTGGGCCCCACCAGCACTGGGCCCAGGACACCGGTGCAAGCCCCATGCTCCTGCTGGCTCCCCACCCACTCACTCCCAGCATCCCCCAGCTCAGCAGTACAGGCAGGGGGCAGCGCACAGACCCGACCCCCTGCTTGCCAGCAAGGAAGATGGTGCTGAGCATGGGGGAAAACTGGCCCCTCACCCGCCCCATGGCTGGCGCGCCCTGCTACAGGCACTCGCAGCCCATGTGGGGCTGTCCAGAGCAGGCACAGGCAGCCCCACATGGGCTGCAAGCAGCTACACCATGGGGTGCTGGCCATGGGGTAAGCAAGGGGCTGCTTTTCCCTGCGCTCAGCACCAGCTTGTAACCCAGCCCCGCTGCCAGCCTGGGCTCCAAGCTGGCTCTGGGCTCGCCCATTGGTGGCAGCAGCTGCAGCCCTCCCCACTTGCCATGCCGGGCAGTGTTGGCTGCTGCTGCTTGCCTGGAGCTCACACTCTGGGCAGCCCACAGGCGGCGGTGGCAAACACTGCCCGGTGCAGCAAGTTGGGGGGCTGCAGCCCCTGTTGCCACACGCAGCCCCGATGGGCAAGCCCGAAGCCGGTGTGGGGCCCAGGCTGGCAGTGGGCCGGGTCACAAAGTGGTGCTGAGCGCGGTAGGGAAAAGCGGCCCCTTGCCCATCCTGTGGCTGATGCCCTGCGTTGCAGCCACTCACAGCCTGCATGGGGCTGCCTGTGCCTGCTCCGGACAGCCCTGTGGGCTACAAGTGGCTGCAGTGCAGGGTGCTAGCCACGGGGTGGGCAAGGGGCCGCTTTTCCTCACCCTGCACTCAGCTTTTCCCCAGGCCACTTTTCCCCGGGCTCCTTCCTTGCCCTCCCCACCCCCCTTCCCTCTTACCTGTGGTTCCGGCGTGGGGCAGCCATGTGGTCCCAGATCAGAAGCCCCTGCAGGGGCTTCCAGCAGGGGGTGGGCCCTGCTGTTGTGGGAGCCCGCCTGGTTTCCCCTGGGTCCTATTGCCCTTGGTTCCTGTCATTTTTGACAGGAACAAAGGGCAGATAAATATTAATTTTCTAAACTTTTTAGGGGCTCCACGGGCCAAATAGAATGACCTCGTGGGCTGGATCCAGCCCGTGGGCCATATTTTGCCCACCCCTGCTCTACATGGTGAAGTACATGCTCTGAGTCATGCTTCACACTAACCTGAAGGTGCAGAAATCTGCTGTGTTCAGGTTCTGACAGGTATGTAGTTACAGAAAACAGATTGCTGTCATTTATGTTGTGCAATCAAGAGTAAAACATGGACCTAAGTCTCATTTATGTTGAAGCCCCTCTATACTGCTCTGGCCATTTTAGGTATTTAAAAAAAGGGACTGAATTATTTTAGAATGATCTCTAGGGCCCCTTTGCACCAAAATTAGAGTGGCATAAAGGGGTCTTGGTATCAATATGAACTGTTATTTTATTCTGAAATAGGTATTCAGGACATTATTGGTGCTATTCATGGACATGATCCAGCACTGTACTTAGTGCATCTTGTGAGGAGTTTAGTTCTCTCAGCTCTTATAATTCAATAGAAATTAAGGGATCCTAGTACATCACAGCAGGTACTAGAAGCCAGAGTTTTAAGGTCAGTTAAAAGCCTATAGGTACAGAAAGGCACCTTGCAAGTGTGAGAAATCTGATTACAGTGGAAAGTAAGTTTCCACTAGGCAACCATATCCTTCTTTACGCGCCTAAATACATTTAAAGTTTTGGACACAAGTGCTTTAAAGGATTAACTCAATATTTTTGTCAATATTATTTTGATAACATTATTGTCAATATTTTGCTAAGTACAGTTTTATAAATAAAAAAA